GGAAGTAGCTCCGGTACCCTGTTCTGGAGGTGCCTATTCAGGGACGAAGTTCACCCGTTGTACCAGCCACACATCTGGAAGATGCCAGCGACGGCAGCAGGGCCATGCTCTCCTCTCAGCTTCCTGCAACAAGGCCTACAGTAGAAGGTAGAGGGCTGTAGGGAGGTCAGAGGTCAGGCTTCACAGGTGAGCTGCCTTTTGTCACAAATGACCCTGAAGAGAAGGGGCCAGAAGTCAAATCAGCCTATCCCATGTCTTCAGATTCGGAAACAACAGACTACATTCTCTTCAGCAGCCAGATGCTTTTTACCAGAGCACTTCACTCCCTTGACTCAGAAGCCAGGGTCCATCTTCCAAATGAAGCTCTGTATATACTTTGGGCACTTCCTCTTTTCACAATTTCTTCTCTTGATCTTTTAAGCCATTACCAGAAATAGTCAATTAACTAACAGGAAGATCCCACAGTCATTCAGGCAAACTCTGAGGGGCCTGGAGAGCAGTGCTGGTCTTGGACCTGAAAGGACACTCTTGTCTTCTGAGTGGTCAGGCACTTCGTGCCAGGAACTCAGCCAAACCATCAAGTTGCTCCTGCTCTGAATGGCATCCATGGTCCAGTCTCTGGCTATGGTCATAGAAACCACTCCTGAGTTGGAGTGGGCTAGTCCTAGTAGGGCACAGAAAACATCCAGGGAAGTCAGGCACAGTGGCGCACGCCTGTAATCCTGTCTACTTGGGAGGCTGAGGCAGGAGGAACATAAGTTCCAGGACAGCCTGGGTAACTTAGCAAGAACTTGTCTCAAAATATAATTCACAAAATAGTTGGAGATGTAGCATGGGGTAGAGTGATTACCTAGCATGTAGGAGGCCCTGGGTTCAATCCTCAATACTGGAAAAAGAGAAGAAAAGAAAAAGAAGATTCCCAGGGAGATTCTGCCCTCAGGGTCTTCTCAGCTGGCAGGAAAGTCAGGGCAGCAAACTGAAATGCCAAGAAACCTCTGCCACCAGCAGCCAGGTTGCTCCAGGCCTACCCTGGGCACCTGTATGTCAAGCCAGCCTTACAAGGGGACTGAAACCTAAGCCGGCCAACTAGTGTGCTGTGGTCCTTGGGCCCGACAGCCAATCATTCAGTAAGCAGCCAGAAGCCTGTTGATTCACACCAGCTGAAACAGAGGCAAAGGAAGGAACCAGTGAGGAGTTCCACGACACCTAGGCCCAGGGGCTCCAGGTGGCCACAGGAGGATAGAAAATACAGAAAAAGGTCAAAAGTATCCTATTTTCTTAGTTTTGATGGAGAGCTAAGTATAAGACTCATCTGAATTTCCTCAAGTCACCTATGTGAATATCACCTGGCATACTCAGACAAATAGGGACAGGAACAGCAGAGTAGATGCCACCAACAACACCAAGCAGAGCGGCCCACACTATAGGAACCTAGCTAAGCCCCCTGATGTACAGCTGTCCTAGATGGCCCTCTTGACACATCCCTTCACACAACTCAACACTGCAGCTGATGAGCAAGTGAAGCTGAGCTCAGGGTCTCCTTCTGGTGTGTGGTCGCTGCTTCCCTCTCAGCCTCAATCTTCCCTTGAGGAATCACCCTCTCCCACCTGGGAAGCAGCCATGCTATCTGGGGGCACCCAACTTTCCTTCCAGGATGGCCCTACATAGTTTAAGCCAATAGCACAGCCTCAGGCCCTCAGAACATGGAACACACAAGACACAGTGGCACCAGTGTCCCCCAACATTGGCAAATGCAGGGTCTTCCTTTGATGCTGTGGCAGCACTTATAAACAAGGAGGCCCAGAGCCCAAGTTCACTGTGTAGCCATGTCCAACACAAGGGAGCCAGCAAAGCAAAACTGACCATCAGGAGGGCAGGGTCAGTAGAACATGAAGGAGAGGGCTGTAGTCAGCCAACCCCTTCTCTAAGCCCAGGTGTCACTCCCCACTTCCTGCCTTCTAACTGAACCCTGGGGGACAAGCAGTGTGCCTCCAAATGAGAATCAACATGAGCCAGAACTAGGGTGTGGTCAGTGACCAAGCACTTGCCTAGTACACTCCAAGCCCTGGGTTAGACACCCAGCACTGCAAAAAGAACAAAAACACCTCAGTGCTAATAAGATCCCAACATCAGAGAACTTTAAACCACAACACTGTACCATAGGCAGACTTGGGTGGGACAGTGCCATGGCAGAAGGGACTCTCCTAAACTCCAGGCCCCTCTGCTACCAACAACAGCTCCATGAGGGTGCTAAAATGCCACCCAGCAGAAGCAGCCCACATGCTCTATTCATTTCACAGCAAACACTATATATTACAAATAGAGCAAACCAAAAAGAACAACAGCAGTACTGCTGCTATGATCAAGAACTGAAGAGTGCTCAGATGGGCTGGCCCAGGACATGTAGACGCCATTGTTTTTAAAATTAGAAATCAGAATTGAGCTGGGTGTGATGGCCAAGTCTGTGTGATCCCAGCAGCTTAGGAGGCTGAGTCAGGAGGATTACAAATTACTGACCACACCCCGCCTTAGCAACATGGCGAGGCCATAAGAAACTTAAGCAGACCCTATCTCTAAATAAGATATTAAATTTTTTATTTGGATCTGGGGATGTGGCTCGAGTGGTTAAGCACCCTGGGTTCAATATTTTTCTTGCAGCCTAAGCCTCAAATTCTCAAATTTAGTGTCATCTTAACAAAGTTTCTAGTCTATTGTAAACTTTTTAGGTTTTTTGTTTTGTTTTGTTTTTAACTGAGGGGCACTTGGCCATTGAGCCACACGCACAGCCCTATTTTGTATTTTATTTAGAGACAGGGTCTCGCTGAGTTGCTTAGCACCTCGCTTTTGCTGAGGCTGACTTTGAATTTGTGATCCTCCTGCCTCAGCCTCCTGAGCTACTGGGATTATAGGTATGCACCACCATGCCTGGCTTAGGTTATGCTTTAGAAACTGTTAGTTACACCAGCCTTAACAGGATTTGTTTTTTGGTTTTTTTTTTTTCTTTTTTGTACTGGGGATTGAACACAGGGGTGCTCTAGAACTGAGCTGCATCCCCAGTCCTCCCGGGCAGCTGGAATTATACATGTGGGCCACTGTGTTGAGCTTAACATGATATTTTTAAGGCATATTCTGTCTTAAAAAACTTACTAATAGGGGCTGGGGATGTGGCTCAAGTGGTAGCGCGCTCGCCTGGCATGCGTGCGGCCTGGGTTCGATCCTCAGCACCACATACAAACAAAGATGTTGTGTTCACCGAGAACTAAAAAATAAATATTAAAAAAAAAATTTAAAAAAAAAAAACTTACTAATAAATAAAAGCATTTAGGAATGGGGGTATAAATCAGTAGCAGAGTACTTGCCTAGCATACATGAGGCCCTGGGTTCAATCCTCCACACTGTAAAAAAAAATAATAATAATAATAATAATAATAACAACAACAACAATAGGCGGAGTGCAGTAACGCAGGCCTATAATCCCAGTGGCTCCGAAAAATGAGGCAGGAAGATCATGAATTCAAAGCCAACCTCAGCAAATTAGAAGGCACTAAGTACTCAGTGAGACCCTGTCTCTAAATAAAACAGGACTGGGAATGTGACTCAGTGGTAGAGTGCCCAAGTTCGATGTCGGTACTCTCCTCCAAAAAAGAAAAAATAAATAATATTAATAGCAGCATTTGGCTGACAACAATAAGAAAAAGGAACAAAAAGATTAGTCAAACAGCCAGGAGCAGTGATCACGCCTATAATCCCAGCACTCTGGAGGCTGAGACAGGATGATCACAAGTTCAGAGCCAGTCTCAGCAACTTAAAGAGACCCTGCCTCAAAATAAAAAAATAAAAAAAGGCTGGGATGTTGCTTAATGGTTAAGAGCTCCTGGGTTCAATCTCCAGCCCCCGCCAAAAGAAAACCATTAAGCCAGGTGCAGTGGTGCATGCCTGTAATCCTAGTAGCTCAAGAGGCTGAGACAGAAGGACCGTGAGTTCAAAGCCAGCCTCAGCAATGGCAAGGCACTAAGCAACTCAGTGAGAACCTGTCTCTAAATAAAATACAAAATAGGGCTGGGGATGTGGCTCAGAAGTTGAATGCTCCTGAGCTCAATCCCTGGTACTAAAAAAAAGAAAACCATTAGTCAATCCACGTTGACCACCATTTAACTACAAGGTCCCACTCTCAGGTAACCCTCAGAAGGGTGAGTCCTGTGCAAATCAGCACATGCCAGTCTCTCCGTCTGGTCCTGATGTCTAGCAGCTGCACCAGGACTACGGCACCTGGCGGCAGCCTCATGCTTACAGATCTTTAAAGTCCCCCATGCACCAGCTCAGGAAAGGAGTAGGAAATGCAAGCATTCTGCTCACACATGCAACAGACGGCGACCTGAAAGCCAAACTGTAGGGAAAGAGTGAAGAAGCAGTTTCAAAGCTGTAGAGACTTCTTGAGAGCTTTGTGGCTCCCTCCAAGCTGCATGTGCATCTATATGCACATGCACAACTGGTGAGGACCACCAGACAAAACATCCAGACTGCCTTGCACTGACCTACCACACCCCCACACAGCTAGCAAGCTAAAGGGTCCAATCCTCGACTCCAAGCACAAGTCCCACAAGTTTCCTAGCACTCAGAAACTTCCCCACCAGGCCTCAGTCGCCAGGAACAACCCTGCAGGATCACTATAGAAAGCTACCGGAACTCTCCATGCATCGATGCACTTGAATGTCCACTCCTCCCTTTACCTAGCCCAGAGAGTTGTGTCTCCACTTCTGTGCAAGAGGACACAAGTCTAACTGCTCCAGGATCAAGTTCCAATGTCATTATGACTTGTGAGAACTTCCACATTCCTAATGATCACCAAGCCGCGCAGTCTGTTCTCAAAGAAAGTATTCTCAACATCACAGACATGACAAATATGGAATCAAACCCTGACATGACCAAAGCGGCAGCCATATACTCAGCTTGGGCTAAAAGATCCCATCACCAACACCCTTCCCTTGTTCCTTCTCCAGGTCTCAGAGGTGAGCACAGAAAACAGACACCTGGTGACTCACCTGAGCTCTCTGCCCTCGCTGTATCGTCTACTTGAGGCCCTCGGGGAGGCTGTCTCCAGGAGCAACTTCTGAGTGAGCCTGCTGGGGGGGGCACCATCTCTGCCATCATCCTCTTCGACTGCGTCCTGGTCACATTTCCACTCCTCATCTTCATTCAAAGTGGGCAGGTATCCAGATATGCCCTTCCCTGTCCCTGACCCTGAGCTCTGGTCACTGCAGACCTTTGGGCTCTCTGAGCCTGTCCTTGTGTATTCCAAGTAAATGTCGGACTTGAGAAAGGACGGGTAAGTGTTCTCCTCCATGGTGGACTGGATCTCCGTCTGGGCCTGGTCAAACATGGCAGGATCGATCTGCTGCTTCATGACACAGTCCTTGATGAAGCTCTTGGTGGCTGGCTTGGTTTGCCTGGACACGATGCCATTACTATCCAGGATATACTTTCGGTAGATGGCTCTTGCCAGCTTCAACCTCTTCTCCTCGTTTGAATTACAGGGCTCAAGCTTCCTGAAGCCACTGCAGGCGAACCAGAAGTCCAGCAGGTCAGCACAGCCCTCCTGCTTCAGGAAAGTCCTGAACAGGCTTATCCCATCCTGGTCGTCCAGCAAGGAATGCAGTGACTCGGCCCACCGCAAGTATGGTGGGGTAGGAGAGGCACTGCCCTCAGGCTCGTACCCCAGATCCAGATCTGAGCGCCTCGGGGTGGCTGTTGAGGTCTCGCCTTTAATGCTGACACCTTTCCCAGAGCAGAAACTGTGGCTGATGGGCCTTGGGTCTGTGGACACCAGTTCTCCCTCCTCACCAGGCACTGGGGGCCGGGGGGCATCTTCAGTGAAACTTGCTCCAAGGTCCAAGGGGAAACCCTGCTCCTGGACACTCATTCTGGGACTCTGCGTCAATGAACAACGAGCGCTGCACCCTAATACATCAGTACTTACGGCTCCAAGGGGAGGCAATCTGTCCTGTTGAAACCATCAAGAGGACAAGGGTTAGGAAGGTGGCCCTTGGGACACTATCAGAGGTTCTCTGAGACGAAGCTAGCGGCACCGCCCTCCCACTCTCACTCAAAGCAGAAAGCCAGTTCCATTTCCAGCAGAGACATATTTTGGCCACACAGTATGCTCTATATCATATATGACTTGTGAGAGCTTAAAATACAGGAAGGCCTCTCACACTAAGTGGATGTCCAGAACACAGAGGATACCTCTCCCCTAAAGTGTCCTTCCATGAGACCAGGGGTCTGAGGACCAACCATTCTGGCTCAAGAGCTGAATGACCAGGAGGGCTAGAGAAAGGAAAGGTACTCTCAACCCTGACCCCTGGAACCAGGGGCTCACACACAAAAATAATCACCTCACCTGCCCAGTTGTCAACACTCAGAAATGGGAGAAGCACACTATAGATCTATAGCAGGAGTGCATCTTCCAAGTCCCACAGCCTCTGTTGCTCTCTGCTATTGCATCACTTCATATTTGATATGCCTGCAATAGATGCAAGCACCCAGCCAGGTATTTCTCCTACTCTACACACACCTCAAAGAGCAGCTGGCCACAGGTTGCCTTCAATACAGTGGGATTGGTGATACAAGGACACAGCAAGTAGGCATTCAGAAGTCATCAATGCAGGCAACCTCAGAAATGCAGAATTACACTAAACTGTGAGTACCTGTATTATGAGGAAAATGTCCTTCTGAAAACAAATGGTGGATGGGGACATTAAGGGACAGAAAAAGTACAGAACAAATTAAATCTAAATACAAGTATGCTTTTTGGCTAAAGAAGCATATAGCTCATTTGATTTAACTCCCTAAGCTGAAAAAACCAAACCACACATCCTCTTAGAGGTTATTCTGCTAGGCATGATGACACAGGCCTGTAATCCCAGCTACTCAGAAGGTTGAGGCAAGAAGACTGAAAGTTCAAGGCCAGCCTGGGTAATTTAGGGAGATCCAGTCTCAAAGTTAAAAATAAAAGGGCTGAGAGTATAGCTCAGTAGTAGAGGGCCCCTGGTTCCATCCCTAGTTCCTGAGAAAAAGAAAACAGTATTCATACATACAAACTGGTGTTTATTACTACTACTGCTGCCACTAGTAGATGGAAAGTATGCAGGAGACTGCCCCCGAGCAAGACCTGCAGCCCAAGAGCCCTGGCTGTGCCTCTTAAATCAGCCCTTACATCCTTTTAACACAGAATGTAAGGATCCTAGCCAAGCATATTGGAGAGGGGACTATACATCAGGACAAACACCTGGAGCACTGAACAAGCCAGAGCGCACAAAGTCAGCCCCCCTAGAACCAACTCAAGGGGGCTCTCCCTGGCTACCACTGCACACTGCTGGGCCCTAGCCTCCATGAAATCTACCCCCACACCTACATTCTCACTGCATACTCTTCACCTGCCAACCACTACTGAAAGCCAGAGGGACAAGTCACACACACAAAAAAGGAGGGTCACCAATATGTGCCCAACATCATCACAGCTACAGACTTCTTAGAAGACTGTCATCTCAGTCTCAGCAGGGCCAGCCTGTTTGTTCCTTCAGATCAAGATCCTGTGCTGCTCACAGAACCCCCCTTTCAGCTCACTTTCTCTGAGCCCCATCATTTCAGAGTGAGCACCCTGGGTGTCTACAGCTCCACATCATCTCATGATGTCTAGCTTCCTCTTGTCTAGGTTGCCACTAGAGGAAAGAGGGCCTGCATCCCTGACCACCCTTCCAGATACGCAGCAGTCAGCTCACAAGCCCTGAGAAAAAAAATAAGTTACTGGGAACTAAAGAGCAGTAGTTTGTAATGTGAGGCTGGCTACTGTTGCTGTCTCCAAAGCGTTCAGGCCTCCCTATGAGTGACTACAGCAGGACTCTTGGCACCTAACACAACAGTCTCACAACAAAGCGTACCTACAAATATTCAACTGATTGGCACTGAAGAGAAGATGCTTGTCCTAGACACAGCTTTTTTTCAGATGCTGAGCTATTCTTGTGCAATAGAGGAGGCAGCAAATTCAAGACACAGTCCTTCATTACAGAATTGCAGCTTCCCTTCAAAACTCACATTTTACTGTGTAAACCCAGTCTCTCCTAACCATTTTAAACTGCTTTTCAGAGCCCAGAGGAAATATGTCTTATAACTCAAGTCTCTTTGGTCATCAACTGAAAAAAGAACTTCCAGGTCCCTAGAAGCACACCAACACCTCCACATATCACTGATGCTGAAACATTCCAAATCCCCAAACCTCCAAGCTCCCCCAGGGAAGCATACCTAGAATTTAGGGAACACACACATACATACCACACATAAGGCAGTTACATTAATTCAGGCGAGGCAATGCCCACGAGCACCAAATCTGGCCCATAGCCTGTAACCACCATCAATAAAGTGATTCCATAAAGGGAACGTAAAGTCTGATATGGTATTTAAAATTCAAAATTCCCTTGGGCAACACCAAGGCACACACTTCTGGGTACCATGTCAGCAAACTTGATGCTATAGGCTTGTGTATGTGTTTATTTTACACAAACATAACTTCCAAACATTGATTTATATGAAGTGTGAAAGTAACCGTCTATTGATGACACTCTTGTGGGTCAGGGCTACTGTTTCCCATGTTATACCCTTCCCCATCATCTAAATTCTGAATGACCAGTGCAGCCCAAAAAAGTTCACTCAGCTTCTCTGAAACAAGAAATCAAAGACAAGTAAACACATGCTGCAAATCAAACAAAAATACTGTGCTGCCAGGTGCAGTGGCACATGTCTGTAATCCTAGTGGTTAAGGAGGCAGAAGGATCATGAGTTCAAAGCCAGCCTGAGCAACTTAGAGAGGCTCTAAGCAACTTAATGAGAACCTGACTCAAAATATAAAAAGGGCTGGGGATGTAGCTCAGTGGTTAAGTGCCCCTGGGCTCAATCCCCACTTCAAAACAAAACAAAACATCATGTTTTATGTGCTTCGCACACTTACTTGTTCCTGAATGGGACTTCCTAAAACTGAAACCAGCTGGTGCTGGCTCTCTGGGGCAAACAGGAGTCCAGCTGCGTATATTTTCTAAAAAAGGGACTGTGGATCCAAGGAACATGCATATGAGCAAAAAGAAGGTTTCACAGTACAGAGACAATCCCTCTTGGAGATGGGCTGAGAAAAGTCCCCAGAGGATTGATGTGTCTTTTCCTTACTGTCCTCATGCCAATCTGAAAGTGTGCAGCTCTGGTTTCATGCGGGGGTGGGGGCCAGAGGAAGGCTGAATTCAAATTCTGTGGTCAAGACAGAATCTAAGATTTAACCCCAAGACAGAGATCTGTATTTTGGCCCCCAACCTGAAAGGGTATGGTCTCCAGAACAACTGGTTTTTGAAACAAGCCAAACCACAGGCTGAACCCACAGAGTGCCCTCCTGTGGTGGTCGCGGCACCATTCCTACTTATGGGGGAGGAGGCAGGGTGAGGGGAGGGAGGACCACGCACACCCTGGCCTCAGTAGCTACTTGGAATCTCAGACACCCTAAACAAGGACCAGGCCCAGGGACCACAGGAGACATCCCACAGTATGTCAACCACATGTCCACCTGTAGAGACCATTTCCCTTTCCTGTTCACACAACCCAAGGTCAAGGCCCTTCCTAGAACACCAAGCAGTCCTCCTAGCACCCCCTCAATCTCCCACTTCCGCCCCCACTCCCTCAGGCTGCAGAGGCTTCACTTCTGAAAGCCTCCCAACACACTCCCCGCCCCGCCCACCCTGGGCCTGCACAGCCCACGCTCCTGCACGTTTCCTCACACTCCCAGCTTAGCAACCCCTCGCAATCCGCACAGCCAACAATCCCGCAAGCCTCCCTTCACGCTCCATGCCCCGCACACCTTTGGGGCTGCGCAGTCCGCACTCCTGAAAGCCTATCCGCCCCCACGCCCTGCATTCTTGCATGCCTCCCGGAAAACTCGGGGTTCCGCACACCCTCCAGGCTGCACAGCCAGCACTCCTGCACGCCTCCTGGAACCCACTTTGTCCGGCACACTCCCAGTCCTGCACGTCCCGCAGCCCCACACCTGCACGCCTCTCCGCACTCTCCGCCCCACACGCCCTCGGACCCCCATGGCCCGCACACCTGGTCGCCTACCCGCACACTCCCGGCCCCTGCACGCCTCCCGCGCGCACGCCGCGGACCCC